TTTCTAATTGCATTACTATCTAAAACTTAATCAAACATAAGTTTATTTTGAAAAAAATATAAACTTACTATGTATCATATTTTATTAACTAAAAATAAAGTCGTAAATCTATTTTTGAGTAAACCTAGAAAATAAACTAACGAATACCATCATCTTTTCATAATTAATATAAGTCGATCGAAGCAAGGTGAAATTTTATTTCTCTTTTGGTACTATTTGCATCAAATTTCTGCCCTACAGCCGGAGCAAAAGTATTTTTTTTGTGTACATTAAAGAGTGCATGCGCGTATGGACGTTAGAGCATTTCTAAGAATTGTAGTTTTTCTAGCTATAACATAAATATTGTATCGTTTATTTATTATAGTACCGAATACATATTTTTTTTAAATTTTCTTTTACTGTAGGCTTATAAAAAACGAATAAATTAAAACAATTATTTCCTACAAAACATAGACAAGAGAATAAAGAATTCAAATGTGTTTTCAAAATTAAAATCAGGATTTCGTTACCGGATGAATTATTCTTCCGCTTTTTGGTCTGAATTTGCGAAAAATCGACCTGCTCTCAGCAGCCTTAAATGGTTAGGTAGGTAGTAAAATAATAATCTAGATTTAAAAAAAATTTAGAAATAAAAATCTAGATTTGTACATCCAATTGTACTGTCCAAATAAATACAGTCCATATTTATTGTACGATTGAAAATTCCGTGTCTGGTAATTTCACGGAAGATTATCAAGTCGAGTGAAGGCAAAATCAAGTAACCAATATTTGAAGTGAAATAGGAAGAAAATAAAAAAAAATAGGAATACTATAGACAAACAAATATGATCATTATGGTTTGGTGGTACGTAAGTGGACTGTATTGATAATTAAGACAAAAAAAAATATTAAAAAACTTACAAATAACGGGAGCAGGGGGGGTCCCTTAAATCTAACAATTTGTTAATACAATTCCTCTAAAACACAAGTTCCGTAATAACAAAAAAGAACCATATATATGTAGGTATATAAAAACAAATAATAATAATATCACCTATATGTAGGTATATAAAAACAAATAATAATAATAATATCACCGACGTCGACTACAGCCAGCTTGTCATTATTCAGTGATTCACAAGAAGACGATGGCGGCGGGTGGAGCACTCGTGACGCACTAACCGGCAATCGGCGACGGAGCCTTGGACGTCGGTGCCGGCGAGGGAGCACACACGACGTAAAACGTACGGCGATGGAGCCGCGTAACACAGAAGAAAAAAAAGCACGTGCGTACGGCGAACTTTTGGTGTGTTGTTTTTTGATGGCTGCGACGACGACATAACCAAAAAAAATACACAGTTTGATATCGCGCGACGTTATCAGCATGCGATTGGAAAAGGTGGCCTAATGACCACGATAGGTGCATTACATCTACACCGCCTTTTCTTCCCGACTCTGATAACCTTTTCCGTACCCGACATTTATACAATCCAGATTTTAAATTCCATATATATATATATACGGTCCAGATTTATATGCGTTCTCACAGTATTATTTATAATGTCTTATAGTACCATACTGTCCAAACTACTACCTATATTATAATAATATTGAATCATCAAAACGTGGAGTTGTGCAAATTAATATAATGTTAAGATAAAATGTTAATTTTGATTATTATTGTAGTTCCGATGTACGGTGGCACGATAAACGTGATTACGGATTACACACACTAATGTTCATTAACTACTCACGCATTAACACAGCCAAAATGTTCGATATATTTGATATAAAATGCCTAAATATTACTTCTTAAAACATTCTACGCTCCAGCCTCCTTAATGTTGGTGTGTGTCCGCTTATACGAGTATGTGTGTAGGTAGGGACACACTATTATCACGTCACGTGAGGTCACGTCGTTATTTCTTTAACTCACGTCACGTCACATCACGTAGATACGAGGTCTGTTCAAAAAGTACCAGGACAAATGTTATTGAGGCTAATCTATACATGATAACGTTTTAAATTATAAATAGATATATTCCCAACGTATTAGATAATATTTTGAACAAAACCCGAAGTCGCTATCTTATCTCAGTTTAATATTATACGTGGTTAAATCTAGTCAGTTTGTTTCGATCTCCGTTTTCGTCATGTCCGAAATTAACGAACAACGTGTGTGCATCAAGTTTTGCTTGAAACTTGGTAAAAATGCAACTGAAACGTACACAATGATTAAAACTGCTTTTGGGGACGATTCTTTAAGTCGATCCGTTATTTTCGAGTGGTTTAAACGTTTCAAGGATGGTCGACAGTCAACTGAAGATGATCCACGTACGGGAAGACCGTCGACATCCAGAAACGATGATGTTGTGGCGAACATTTACGAAAAAGTGCGAAATGACCGCAGATTAACTGTTCGTGAGTTAGCAAATGAGGCAGGAATCTCAATTGGATCTTGTCATGAAATTTTAACAGAAAATTTACAAATGAGAAGGGTAGCTGCTAAATTCGTTCCGCGGTTGTTGACATCGGAACAAAAGGAAAATCGTTTAACGATTTGTAAAGACCTTAAAAATCGATCTGCTGATATTAATTTCATTAAAAACATCATCACAGGGGATGAGACATGGGTTTATGGGTACGATCCAGAAACAAAGTTACAGTCATCTCAGTGGAAAACAAAATTTTCCCCTCGACCAAAAAAAGCTCGCCAAGTGAGATCGAATGTCAAGACAATGCTGATTGTTTTTTTTGATATTGAAGGTATTGTTCATTATGAATTTGTGCCCCATGGACAAACAGTCAATCAGGTATTCTATAAAGATGTATTAATACGTTTGCGAGAAAGAATCCGCAAAAAGCGCCCAGAAAAATGGCGAAGTGGAACCTGGTTTCTTCATCACGACAATGCGCCAGCACATTCAGCTTTGTCAATTCGTGAATTTTTGGCTGAAAAAAAAATACCTGTGGTCCCGCACCCTCCCTATTCTCCTGATCTAGCCCCATGCGATTTTTTTCTTTTCCCGAGATTAAAATCTGCGCTTAAAGGACAACGATTTCAAGATGTAGAGGAAATTAAAGCGAATACGGCAACAGAACTCAAAGCTATAACTTTAGAACAGTTCCAAAGGACTTTCGAAAAATGGCAAGATCGCTGGAACCACTGCATATCGTCTAAAGGAGAGTATTTTGAAGGCGATGTCTTTAAATAATATGTAACTTCATTTTTGTAATTATTAAAAATAAAATCCTGGTACTTTTTGAACAGACCTCGTATGTTTGAAAATGGTCACACTATAGTCACATCACTCACGTGGTTTGGTCACATTTGATTACACAGAGTATTGATTTTCATTCAAGATGGAGTGTGCTAGTTCAACTAGTTCTTCTGATTGGGAATATGATTTAAAAAATGATGCTGCTTTTATCGTTATAAGTGAACAAAAGAAAAAAGGTCAGAATGTTGGTCCCTATAGCTGGTCAATTTAAAATTGTATAAAACTTCGTGAAGTCTCACTTATTCTATTAATTTTTCTTCCATATCTAATAAAAACTGAATTTGTATAAAACAAGCTTCAATTTTCAACCAGTCAAAGTTCAAAATCGAAATGAAATGTGATATCACGTAACATAAAATATGTGAAACGATAGAAAAATAGAAACATGATATCACGTGAGGCGCAATGAAATATTACAATATCACGTGAGTGGGGGGTAATGTGTTTCTAACATATTAAAACAGTACGTATTAATAGATTTCACATATTAATCGTGTGACGTGACGTGACGTGAGATAGCAAAATAAGACGTGAGCTCATGTGACGTGTTGTCACATTGACAAAATAAAACCGTGACATCACGCTCAGAAACACACTACGGTCACAGGTACAATGTCACGTCACCAGTCTTTCAAGAAATTTGTTTCAATCACACTGTTAAGATATTAATACTTAAAACATGGAATGTACAAGTTCTACTAGTTCATCGGACTGGGAAGAAGAAATTGAAACTGTTGCTGCTCTAATCGTTCTTCAAGATGATATTAACGAATCTAGTTGAACATGGGTCCATACAATTAACAAAAACCGTAAAAAATTAGGCGAATTTCACCATTTAGTTCCAGAATTACGCCAATGTTCGAAACGTTTTCATATGTATTTCAGGATGAGCAAAAAAGAATTTCACTATTTATATGAATTAATTCGAAATGATATACAAAAACAGAACACTCAATTTCGGAGAGCTGTTAGTTCTGAAGAAAGATTAGCTGTTTATTTGAGGTAAGAAAATAATTAATTAGAAATAATTAATAACTTATTATAATAATTAAATTAGTAGTGTACTTATAAATATTTATAACATTATTATTGAGCCTTATGTATACACAAATTATATAAGATTATAATATTATTTTATACATTAGAAAGAGACGTAATTTCTAGTAATGTTGGTTTTTCAACGTTAATTGAATATTCTTTGTCTAAACTGGAATAGTCTGATGGCGACGTAATCGGATGAATACTGTCAGCCGAAGACGGAGATTGAAAATAAAATGATTGAGTTTGCATTTGATTTTGAGAATTGTATTCAGATGTGTGTTGATGGAGTCTTAATTCTGTAGATAACACGGAATCACTCAAAGCAAGTTTTATTTGTGCTTGTTAGTATTTTGGCATCTGTTTGGTCATCTTGGCATACAAAAAAAAAAAAAAACAAATCCGTGTCATCAAAGTTTTCCAAAATACTTGTTAATCTTGATTGTAGAGGGCGAATACTATTTTTTTCTTTTATTTACGTTTACGTAACTCAGCGTTTTCCTTTAAAATCTGCACCATTTGTTGAGACTGAGTATCAGTAAGCCGTTTTTGCTTTTTGTTGTTTCGTAAAAGTTTCAAATCATTTAAACGCTGTTTAGTTATTTCCTCGGTTGTTTCAGTATCGTCAACCATCGTGTCTCGACACAGCACGTCGTTATCTTTTACTTGAATGTCTTGAAAGTCATGCTCACTTTCTTGTCCTTATTTTGACTGACTAGGCGTATTTTCTTTCACATCAGAATCCTCTAATATATCTTCTTGTTTTGCCGCTAAATTACTTTATGTCCTTATAAAGGAAATTGTATGAAAAATAAAAAATAAATTAACAATTAATACCGATTTAATAAAATATTTAAATAAATGTTTTGTATTTTTTACTTACTTTCGGCTGTCTGAATAAGGTAAAATAAATGCCATTTGTTGCTCATATTTCCATAATTTTTTTTTTTAAAAGCCGATATTATCATATTGGTCTATTCCCAACCCCCTTATATACTTAGGTCTTGTGGGAATCAATCGTGTCGCGCTGTGCGAAAGTTGTTTTCGATTATTATAAATATAAGATTTATCACTTTAGTGACCTTGTTAATATTACTATACGCACATCTCTCATAAGTGTTTTTATTAAAAATGTAGCCATGTTTGTGATACCTTCGGGTCTTAATTATTCCTTTCTACATCGTTCACCGATTTCAATTGTTTATTGGTAATTGTAAGGACCTACTTTTATGTATGTCCGAAACATCGTATTACCCTCTAATTAGATTAATAGTTCCTTTCTATTATTGCGAATACTTTATTATTCATAATCATTTCCCGATCTTACTAATTACGATTTATGTGGTCCCGCCCATGTTGTAAGAGTCGTAAGGACTCACATTTATGTATGTCCGTAACAATATACAGGGTGGGGCGTGGTTACTTCCTTATTTTAAAAAATCATAATACAAAAAGTATTGGCAATATTGATTTAATTATTTTTTCTGTGTATAGAAGTTTCATAATTACACATAATCACATAATTACAACCATTATTTTTAATTATATTAGTTACTTTGCCGGTCACATCTGCATCCAGCGATTTCGTTTTCGTTTCGATATCCTCTTCAACACTTCGATGTTTGAAATCATATTTACAAAGTACCTACTAATAGTAAAAATCGTCTATATGATTTGGCAGTTATGAATATACATCGTGATAAATTAGTGTCAATACGTGTTATAAGTATTACAAGTCATCGATTAAGATAAATGTAATAATTAAACATTATAAATCATTTTTCAAAATATAAATATTATTGTAGACAAATATGGTATATTTTTCATAATTATATTCATGGTTTGTTTTTCAATTAAGGCTATTATTTTTCATAACACCTCCCTTGGAAATTCCTAGCTATCTCCATGAATTCTCTAACCTGTTAAACAAATCCTATAGTAAAGAGTTTACCTAACATATTTTTACCAATGAAGTAAGTTCTTGTTTTTAACAGTGTTCACTGACTAGTTAGCATATTAAATTGGTCAGGTCGACTAGGGCAGCAAGGCGTTGTTTAGGTATATGTTATGCCCATGCAGTCTGACTTAAAAAAGTTCAAAAAGTTATCATATAACAATAACCTATAGTGTATAGTTCAATTTGAGTACAATTTACTAATAGAAGTTCCTCAAATCCTATCAAGACAAGGCTCACATTAGGTTAAAACTTAAAATAAAGAATAACTCCTTAAGGAGATTCAACATTTATTATGCAACTCAATTTTGTTGAATAGTTGCATAGTATATTAATCATATTTTGAGTACTAATATTACTAGGTATAATATAGTATATCTGTACATAATAATTAAAAATAAGAAATCGCCTATATTCTTTGTTATAAAATATAATAATTTTACAATATAATGTAATATTCAATTATTATTGTATACGTGTTGTGCAGCATATCGCATAATCGTGTATTCGTGCATTCGTAATTTTTTTCTAGGATATACGCTCAGCACATAAGCGTTTATTGGTGGGAGAGGGGGGGAACCCTTAAAAAAAATGTTCTACCTACATAAACCTTTCAGACCTTAACTTTCAATACCTGGAAAAAAAATGTTACCTACTCTTTTTTAACTCCTCATACATGTATTAAATCATTTATTAGTTTTTTTTTTTTTTTCGCAATGTTTTAGCTGAGATTTAAGTATGTACACTATAGTGGACATTGGGACTCAATGGACTCAATACTAAAAATAATTTTAACTATAATTTATCTACAATTAACATAAAAATATACAATTTTATATATTGTTCTTTAATATTTTTTATTTTATATGAAAATCTTTAAAACATTTACTTTTGCTATCTAAGCAAAGATGAATTTTACATTTCGAACAAAACATATGAGTTCTTCTTTTACAATTTTTAAACTTACACCTTGTTGCGATTTTTTTGTCGTCAAAATCAGCCAAATGGTCCACTGTGTCCATACGAATATTATTGGAAGGTCTTTCTGAATCAAATTTTTTGATTTTAAAGGATTTAGGGTTAGTACACACATTTTCATTTGTTGCTGGTCTTCCTCTTCTCCTAGGACTAGCAGTTTTTCCAACATTTATAAGGTCCTGGGCTAAATTTATTCTAAAATTGAGCAAATCGAGTTGCTTTTTTTTCGGTACCTAAATACAAATTTATTAATTTTTTTCAGTTCAAAATAAATATTTTCTATTGAAAATGAAAACAATGGAATGTTACCTGAAATCTTTCAGCATCTTTCTTATACTGTAACCAACTATTTGCAGCTGCTAAGTCGAATACGTGACAAATCATCCTAAGGGTCCACTTCTTTGAACGAATAAATGTTCTGTACAAACTTATAAGCTGGTCCATTTTGTCTACTCCTCCCATTGATTTGTTATACAACTGAACAACTTCGGGTCTTTCGACTTCTTCATAATTTTTATTTTTTTTATTCCAACGAGTTACTTTATCTGTTTCCCCAGAAGTAACAAAATTAGATCCGAGAGAAACGGCCTTGTTGTCAAACCATTTTAGAAGTCCTATGTTACAGCCAGACATATTTGTTGTTATTTCAAACGTGCTTCCTCTTTTTAGCTTTCTCATTTGTTTATCGGTCAGAAATGGGGGATTCATAAATCTATTAGTCCTTATAGTTCCAGCGGCGAATATTTGTTTTCTTTGTAAAATTTCAAAAAGTGCAAATGTTGAAAAAAAATTGTCAAAGTAAAAAAAGTGTCTATTTTTTTCTACGTTTTTAGTAAGGTGTAGGACAGTACTAGCTCCTAAACCAAATTTTTTAAGATTTTCTGTATTTATTTCAGTTGATGATCCTTGATACAACAATAAATCATATATAATTCCACTCTCACCACAAAGCAAAAATACCTTTATTCCCCACGGACAAGTTTTCCCACGCATGTATTGTTTGACGGACAGTTGTCCTTTAAAAGGAATCATTTGTTCATCTATACATATATTACGTTCCATATTTATAAAATTACATTTTTTTTTTTAGCTTATCATACAAGGGTCTCACTTTTATAAATTTATCCTTGTTATATTGGGTGATTTTTTCATTATCAATAACATGAAAATTTGATCTCAATGCAAAAAATCGATCTCTGGTCATATTGTCGCAAACTATTTTTATTTGAAAATTATGTTCCCAATACATTCGAACTCTGGGAAACTTTAGCGTCCCCATTATTAATTGAATTCCAATAAAAATCTTTATTTCAAAAACAGAAGTGGGTTTAAACTTTTTTTGGTTTTGAACCGCGTAAAGATTTGTGTAATAAGTCATATTTTCAAAATCTGCGTCTCCAAAATATTCAAGAAAATAATCATAAGGACTAGGTAATTCTTCGGGTAGTATATCTTCTTCAATATCACGTAAATTTAATTCAGGAGCATTAAATGGCATATGTACCCACTTGATTTCTTTTTTTGATGAAACAGTGTCATACTATTGGACAGTTTCTTCATTTTCAATTGTTTCTCCAATATTGAATAATTCGTCATCGAATTCAACAAGCATTTCCTCGAGCTCTTCATGCGGGAAATTATCATGATTACGTTCGTCTACGTCTTCGTCATCAGAAAGATCAATATCGGAAACTGTGCCATCACCTAAGATGTTTAAAATATCTTCCTCTCTAAGGTGACGTGACATTTTTTTTTAAAGAAAAATCAACGAAAAAAAGAATAAACGCCGTTACTTATTTATGGTTAATGATTCTAGTATATTAGTCGTTACACACGTCATCAACAATAAAATAAATCTATTTATTTATTATCAAATTTTATGGCAGTTATTAATAACAACTCCAATTTAAGATTAACTTAAACTTGTATATCATATATCGTGGTAAAAACCAATTCAATGATTTTATTAATAAATAACAAACATAAATTCTAAGAAATATAAACATAAATAAATCATTTTACATCACATACGAGGTGTATGACGCAAAAACATGACGTCTAGTCCCAATGTACACTATGGTGTACAATGATAATTCTGTGTATTACTTTAGAACTAATAAATGTATATAAATAGTTTTGGTGTCATTATTTTCCCTGTGAGAATACCTTCCTCTACATATTTTTTGTGATATGCTGACATCTAGTGTTGATTTTATACAAAAGAATAATCAACAGCAAAATTCAATTTTCTTATCGATCAAAAATAATTTCACATAAAGTAAAATTTTTCGACTTAATTTAGAATTTAGATAATATTTTAATCGTATTAAACAGATATTTTTACATATGTTAGAAACATAATTACTATTTAAACTAATAATGGTAGCGAAATATATAATTATAAACACCATGTACACTATAGTGTACAGTGGGTCTGAAAGGGAACGTGGGATATATCCCCGCCAGACTTTTTTCCTAAGAGGTGGTGGTTTACAACTTTTCAACAAAAGTATTTTTGGGGGATTTGAAATGAGCGCGCGCCTCCTTAGTCCCCATGAATTCACGCCTGTCATGGAAGTCTACATATTAAACTTATCTGTAATAAAATCATAGGTATATATCATATATGAAACGTAATATTTATGTTAAAATTTATTTTCATGAAACCTAATGTTTTATTATGGGTAATAATATTTTAGTATTAATTTAAAATAATTTGCACAAACATACGACGAATAAATACTGACCAAGTGACAAACTGATAACAATATAATAATTTATAATCACAATCTATCCAAAACATCGTAGACTGATCGGTTAATATTGTGATAAATTTATAAACAGAACTTTTTGACTATTGATCTATTTTTAACAATTATAATATCCGCTCGACAAGACAATATCGCACGCGTCCACAGGTATTATTTAAATACTGATGTTACAGTATTTAGACGCTCGACAGTTTCCGACCGTCTTTGCAAACACCCGAAGTCGGGGAAAATTTAATCGAAGTTTATGCGGGCACGAGGC